GAAAGGTTTAATATTTTTCCAATAATATAGTTCGCCAGAGCATGATTTCAGTATACATAATAAAATGCCATAAGATGATGGCGCGTAACTATACTTCAGTGACGTTAAAGCTTGTAATACGTCATTTTCAGAAATGATCAAATCGAAATGGAAGCAGATTTTATGATTTGATATGGGTAAGTATTTTGTACCTCGGCATCTGCAGTAGAAGAATACCGTCAGAAATATTCGGTATGGAGACTCACATTTTGTACATCTTCAGAGAAGTCAGAAACATTAAACGACATCGATGATGAATATAAGGAGACTGTTCATTTGCGCTTGGCAAATTTGTAAAATTGTTTAGCAGCAATACGAAGTTAAGATTTTATTATTTGAAGGTATCTGCAATAACTTTCATGGTTGACAAGTTCATTAACAATACCATAAATAAGAATACAAACTTCTTATAAATAGAAATATCTGCATTCAAATTAAGTCAAATATAAGCTTTTATTTCCAATTTTCACACGAATTTGAGTAATTTCAATGTTGGAATAATTTGTGGTTTCAAGTGAATATGAGGGAAAGACAACTCATAAGGCCAACAAAAAGCCACCACTACTACAATCTGGACGATCTTCTCTGAACACATGGAACGTGTTCGGGAAAGCTTTCAAGTTCTAGCCAGGTTTCACTGAAAAATACAGACTGGAACTGTATTGGCTGATTCCAGGTAAATAGACTGCATTTTAGAATTTTGGTATATGACAGCCACTGGGGCAAAGGAACAGTCTAATTTTTTGTGGGTGGAAGGGTCGCTAAATGGGTTGCCAAACTACTATTTCGCTGAATGGGTTACCAAATTACTATTTCGAGGCTTATCCGTAGGAATGCATTCTTTTTATTAATTTAAATAATATTTCTGCTTTTTCATTCCTGTTGCACGAGAGGAGCTAGGCGGGGATAACGATTTCTTAATTTTTTTTTGAGATTTACCAACGGATATGACATTCCTTCTGCGTACGCATAGCCACTACGAGAGGAACTTTATTCTAATGTTCTTATTAGTATTAGAATGTTGAGAATTTATTATCTGGTTATTAACAGTAGGGTTAACAACTTCAGCGATATTAGCTATAGGGTTTATAACTGTACGATTTTCGAATAAAGGAAAAGATGAAGCGCTCAGCGCCATTAGAAGATTAGGCGCGGATTAAATTGAATGAAGGAGCAACTAAAGCAAGGGGTATGATATTTATAGGAAATTATATGGAAAGAAGAAGGGGATGGGCCACAGCCCACACTACGTGTTTCTCACCTACCTTTCTCAAAGACAACTGACCATTTTAAATAACTTCACTGTTCGGACATTATCTTGTATTTATTCAACTTGCTTGATAAAAACTACAGTTCCTTGCTATCTCACGCATTCTGACTTTTGTTTGAATGAAAAGACGATAGAAGTCTATATTCCGCTTTCTACAGTCAGGACACGACCAACTTAACCTTTTCGAAGGTTCCAAAAATACATCCGCAGCTCTTCTGGTAATACTTGCACACTTTACGTGCCCGCAATGGGACCAACAGGTTGTGTAACGATCAGTACGCGGATCTATCTTAGCGGACCAGAATTTGTATAAACCTTTTCTCCTAGTAGTATGCCAAACAAAAAACGGCGGAAAGAATTGCTTTCCAGTTGCCGTAACGACTAGAAACAAAGAATACGCAGAGTACACAATATATTTTTACGAAACTCGCTTTTCTCGGATACAGTTTGTATCACTGGATAGTGGATATTCTTTTTAAGAGAAATACATTTGCAAGTTTCCACTACAAGACTTTTTTATTTACAATTAATTTGTTTAAGGGTAGAACTATTTCCATTTTACTTTGGCAGTACTCTCCACTTCTCAATTCAGAGTTCGACTAACTCTGCCTTCCGCAAATATTCTCTTTACACATTTTTACAAGCGTATTACTATTACTTAAGTTCATGGCTTCATTTTTAATTCGTTAACCTGCTTCTCCGCTAATCTGTTTCGTCGGCCGGCAGCTACATGACAAGCTGCAAATATATGCTTAGTTTTTCCTTGTCTAGAGAATTTATTTTTGTGGGAAAATTAATTGGCTGGAATGAACTGGATTTGGGATTTCCATAACAATATTTAAGACAAACAAAAATCCGCCTTAGTTTTTAGTTTAAGCAATTAAAGGTATTTGAAAAACAGGACACAAGTTTATCGAAACATACGCAGCAGCGTACACCAACAACAAAATTGGAAAATTTATTAAGCAAGGATTAGTGTTATAAAAAACCGGGCAGTACAGACCAGAAAACGGATAAGTAAGGAATAACCTATTATTATGAGCAAGAAATGTATCTGAAAACTTTCGCAACAGTTTTTAAAAGACAACATGGAAAAAATAAACGAGAGCCACACTATAACAAACTCAACCCCAGCAGCACTCAATACTAATCCAAAATGCTGTCAACAGTTCAATTTTGCAAATATCACAATTAATTAAGACAAATCTAAATTACTAATTGATAATTACTTGTAATTCTCAGGACTGATCAAACAAACAGGGATTTAATTATAAAAATTATGCAAAAACTTGGCGCGCATGAAAACATACGTAGCGCTCGCATGGTTGCCAATGTCAGTGCCTCCTAAAATGGCTAGGGACCACGGAGGCCAATTTACGTCAAAATTGTTCACGGCGTTGGTCGCTTATTACAAACTATCAATTTTCGTATTATCCATAGGCTAATAGCGTAGCAGAACCATTCTATAACCATTCTGTATAGAAAGTGACCATCACTATCGGAAAGTTGTCAAATCGTTAGAGGAGCTGCTGATGATAATTATTGGTTTCAACTTTCAATACCAATAGTTCAAATCTTTTGAAAAATCCCAGAGAGCATATTCCAAACGCCTGTATCTCAATTAGTCATCATACAGACTCCATAGCGAAAACTTATCTTCCCAAGCAATCAAAAGATTGTAAGTTTGTTTCTGCCTGTTCTGTGTGAAAAATCGGCAGCAACCGTATGTTGACCTGTTTAAAGTCATTTCAACAGAACCTGCATTTTTTAAAGTTGAGATTGACGATATAACCAAGAAATTCGCCATAGATCGTCTGAGAACGGCTATAGTTGAAAAATCGGTTGCACGAAATGCACATAGCAACATTGAACTAAAATGAAACGTTCGTCCAATTTACTTAACGGAAATTCTTGAAGAGAGCGAGCAATGTGGTGTCTTTTAGGTACTGTACTTTATAAAGTAGAATAATTTCAATATACTTATATATTACAAGTTTTCCACTATATTATAAAAATAATAAAGAATTCAACCTTTTCTCAAACTAACACAACAGAGGCTGACACAATGAGGCATCATTTTCCTGTTAAAAACATGCTGAGAAATCTAGTTATACCAACTTAAATTTTTACTTGTTATTAATCACAGCAAAGTAGTTTCTAAATACTGAAATATTTTTGTGAAAATTTTATATTAAGCTTTTTTTCAGTTCCAGAATAAATTCTAACGTTGTGTATACAGACCACAACCATTTTCATTTCTTTCAAAGCCTAAATTTTTTAGAGAGGTGACAAAACATTGATACCATCATCCATTCACATTTTGATAATTTTTATTCAATCTTATTTTTGCTAATCTTCTCTTTCTAAGCCAATACCTTCTCCATTATCTTTGATTATGTCAAGATATCTAGCTATCTCCATTTATTATTTTCTAAAACTCTATAACCATTGTGCTCAAAACCTGGCAAAACACCTAAAACCTGCGTCCCACTTTTTTTTTTGAAGATTTGAAGCTTTATTTTCAATTAAATATATATAGTTAATGAAACATTCGTATACATATTTTAATTCAATAGCATGAATCTTTGTTACCTTGCTCTAATCACCAATAACCTTCGAAAAGTATTTTTCGCCATTTAATCCAGTAGTAGTATGTGGACCGTTTAGATAGGTTTTTCGTTATTCTTTCATTTTTAAGTGCTAAATTATGCATTTTATTTTGTAAACACTATAATGTACGTTGCGTTTTTATCTGACCCTCCTTTGCCTTTCGGGCTCCGCGGTGGACGCTACTTTTGTGTAACAAAGAATTGTCTATTAATCTGAACTTGTCTCATTTTGTTCTCTGTTGTATAAAAAAAACTATATATGTTAAAAAAGTCAAAAAGATCGGATGAATGCATTGTTAAACTGGCCAGATCAGAAGTAATGGCGAGGTATCAATTTTTATCACACAGACACTCTACAAATGATTACGCTAAAGCAATGCACGTGCTGTAACCCTTATGAGCACAAATAGAACGACGAAATTTGTCAAATGGGCTGATCGAATTCCTTAGGCCGCTCTATACCCTGCCCGACCTATGGTATCCAGCGACCAATCAGTTTGTATGGGAGACCCTGAATTTAGCCCCGACGACCGCTCTAATTTATTCTCTTCTCAAAGTAAGAAATTTAATGTAATTCAACTTTTTTTTTTTTAATAAAATGATTATTTTTACATATATTTTATAGATTTGAAAGAAACAAACTCCTAAATATAGTTTTATTCTAACACGTATTTAGGATTATATGTGGCCACAGCAAATAAATGAATGAATATAAATCGTTCACTAAACTAGATATGAAATTTTCCTTTTTCATTTATATTTAATAATAAAAAGAAACAGGTACATGGTAAGCCTTTTTTTAAGATTATAAGACTGCATTGCCGAAAAGCTATACTAACCAATATTCAGATCTGCGCACATAGAACTCTCATTTATTTTAATAAATTAGCAGCTAGACGTTTATAAATTTTGATTCCTCCGTTTTCTCTCTTTTACCGGTAGAAAGCATGTTTCCCAATTTATTTGAAGCTTACAAAACACTTAAAACGAATTATCAAATGTGTATACTTGTGTACGTTTGAATTTGCTTTCTTTTGGTTTTATTTGTCTGCAATCACGTTCTCGTTGCTCCAAAATTTGATTTTGTAAACTGTGTTTAACAATCGATTACATCGTTAACAGTGTCGACAGTGATTATAGCGATGTTCAATATACTAACAAAAATGATGATGTTAAATTAAAGTAGACTTGTAAACACTACGATAATCAATGAATGTTATGAAGAAGAACAAAAAAGATCTTGATTAGGTGTTTAATATACAAGTACGTGTTCAAAATTCTTTTAAAGGCATTTTTCTTGACATTGCCTTGTTTTGTACTATTTTTATTTAATGTCTTTTTCAAACTTGTTGTTTTTGTTTAGTTTTTTGTTTACTTATGTATATAAAAATTTTGATAAATTTTTTTAATAAATTTTGCTTATATTTCTAGTAATATGTGTATACGTTTAAAAAGCACGCCTTGATTTAAAAAAAAGAGAATTGTTTGTAAATTATAGTTACAGTTAAGGGTCGTTAAGAGTCGAGAGTTGTCGTTTAATTCGTTCATTTTCCTCTATTAAGTTGACATTTTTTATATTTTGCACCAATTCAGATTTTTCATCCTATTCGCATCAAAATCCGCGCTTCATTTTCACAACCATCCGTTCACTTTTCTTTTTTTCCAGCAGACCTATACCAAATTTCAGGCAAATCAATTTTTGCTTTCATATTGTCATTCACGGTCGTTAAATTTAATAAGCCTACATGCCACGGAGTTACATTTGTAACAAACGTTACAAAACAAAAATCAACTATTATAACATATTCCGCATGTTAAAAAATCTTACTCTAGTTCTCTTGGCAGGCCTTGTAGAATTTATTTGCCACACATAATTTTCAAATAGTTTAAACTTACATCCCCTTCAGGTTCTGTGTAATTTTCCTTTTACAGTGTATTTATTTTTCCATTAAAAATTTGATGCATTCTTTTTAACTTCACTTTTGATGTGATATATTAGATGCGTTTGCAACAGGCATTTATTGGGAAAAATTTATGCAATATATGTGAATCAAAATATTTTCTGCAGCCCGAAAGTTTGTTGAGAGTTGGAGCTGGGTTTTCGCCATATCTTCTACAAAAAAAAAAACATTCTTCTTACTAAGCCCGTAATATAAAATTTTTGAACAATATTAACAAACGATTGTATTGATTAAATCGCTTTCTCGTTATTTCCATTGATGTTGCTGTTTGCCTCAGACGATTTTTCAAATCAAGAAACTTTGAATTTTGTCCCATAATTTGAAATTGTGCTTTAAACTATCTATATTTACCGCAGTTAAAACATGCTTTTTCTCGTTGCTTTTCAATTTTAAATACATTTGACTCAGTTTTACTTCCTTTGTCTTGTCCTCCTAGTTGAAACAGTTTTATTTTGCTTTTTACATAATCAACTGTTTGATCTTTTTTTATGAGCACATTAACTGAATCACCTACAAAAGGTGAAGATCCTGGAAGCACTTTTATCATGCAGCCCAGTTTTCTTTTTCACTTATATTTGCATGTGCAGTTTTGAATTCCTTAATAAATATTTGATATTCAACAAAAGAGATACTTGAATTTTCAAAGTCTTTGAAGTTCACTTTGTCTAATGTGATCCTTACATAAATTTGTGGTGTGTGTTAATATTTTTAAGTACATTTCATTGAACTTTTTCATAATCTCTGTTTTTGACAAATTGTAGTTAATCATTTGAAATTCTACAATAAATTACGTTTATAGCTTATAAATCTATTTCTTTCCACTCTAATTTTTCTGATGTTGTCCTTTCTAGCTTTTTTATTATTATTATTATTATTATTATTATTATTTTTAATTTTAGACTAATGAAATGAATTCTTAGACTAAAAAAAGACATTGAGCACTAGCAACACAGGCTATCGGCTCTAATTAAAAAAAAAAAAAAATTTACATTAGATAGTGAGCTTAGTAGTATTAATAAAGTAATGTATAGAATTGATATTCTGTTCTGAAGCTGATTGTAGAATGTTCAAAGGGTTAATCGTTCCAAATGCAATACTTCTAGCCAAGGAAAAGTTGAGGCAGTCGCAGAGAATGTGCTTTATAGTAAGAGTTTGTCCACAACAGCAGATTGGGGGAGAAGACTTCTTCAGGATCCATTGGTGAGTTGCAATTGTATGACCAAGGCGAATTCTCGAAAATGTTTGGATCTTGGTTTTCTCAACATTTGTTGGATATAGAGGTGGAGTTAATTGAGGGTTAATGCAAGAGTAATGTTGATGATGGTATTGTAAATTTCCTTCTGCAATTTTCTCTTTAACTTTTCTTCCAATGTATCTTTGAAGATCCAACTTTTCCATGACATCATCCATAATTAGAGGAGCAGAAGCAGCATACTTTGCCGCTCGATCAGCCTGCTCATTTCCCAGTAAACCGATGTGACTTGGTACCCATAACATTTTAATTTTTCCGTCGGGTGTAGTGATTATATTCCTTATCTAACTTTTTTATTTCTTGATATTGCTTTAATTTGAGAATCATCGTAATTCGTTTCTTCCAACATTCGTAATCTTTTCCTACAAATACAAGTTGTAACAATGTGTTTTCGGTAGTCCTCTAAGATCTGTCCAGTTATAGTCTACGAACTTTATTATGTTTAGGGCCACTCTTTAGTGACACTTAAAAAGAACTCGAGGCTGTAGAGACTGTTGCACATGCCAGAGCTGAGCTAACTAGTTCGGGATATTTGGGGGGGTTTTTTAATTTTCTCTCATGGACATCATTCACCCTACCATAGCTATAGTCTCCTTCGGCCCCTGATGTCTATGGGAGACCCCGAAGTTGGGTTCGAGGACCGCTGAGCTATGAATAAGAAAATTCTTTTTGTTCATTTTTCTTTTTATTTTGTCCAAAATTTAATATAATAAGATGAATAAGAATGAATTTCGGTTTTTAAAGTTTCTTTCTCTCTTTTGTTCAACTATAAATATTCTTTTTAATTTAATATAATAAGAACAATAATAATAATAATAAATCAGCTATAGAAAGAAAATTTGAATTTTAAGTTTAAATATCATTCTGTTGTAGTAACAATTGTTTAATTTATATAATTGTTAGTATGTATGTATGTTTCTATGTTATGTATAATAAGAACACATTGCTATATATAAATCGTTTATCTATTTAATTAAATAATTATTAAATTTTTTTTTCTGTTTATTTCTGTGGTCACAATTCACGTATTTTCTCTACTTACTTATTTCCAAACAGTGCGTGCAATATTTTTGGGCAGTGACTTGTGAATCTTTTTAAAAATTCAAAATCGTAAACGCACCCCAACATATTTCCGTAAGCAACTACTCTCTAATAAATTACCTTAAAGAGCATCGAACCATTAATCACTTATAGGAAAAGAGGAATCATGTTCAAATTCCATTCTTTCTTTAGGATAAGCCTTCGAATGTAAACGTTCTTTAACGAGAACATAACTCATTTGTTCATATTGAGGTGATTTGAATTCCGCCAAGACGTAGTACATATCAAACCAATAGAATTTCATATTTTTTAAATGCAGGTAAAGGTTAAAAAAATTATGCGCTTTTTCTTTGCCTAGTAAAAATATATATGATCTAATTTGATGATCACAACGATGAAAAATTAAAAAAAAAAATAAACTCCCTTATTCTTTTTTTAAAAAGTTTTGTAGACTATATTTAGTGTTGACATTACTACACAATTTATAACAATTTTCCACTTGAAATTTTTTGACGCATCCAGGCGACAAAATGGCAATTCTTGGACACATGCATACTCCATAAAAAAAAAAATTTCGAAAATTCAATATGTAATCAGGATCTTTCCTATTTTTTTTTAGTGCCTTGTCTTTTTATTCACTCAATATTTTTATTTTTATAGATATACATCTATATTTATACTTAATGATCTTCGCTCACTTAACAAATTTTTTCATTATATTTTGTATGAATATAAATTTTCTCATAAATTTCTTTTTTTAATCCTCAAATATGGCGCCCAGCATTTTTATACATTGTGCAATTGACGATTAGAAAATTAATTTCCAAATTCGAGCAAGTTTTTAGTACTTTCTTTCTTAAGTATTATAAATAAAATTTATTACAAACACTAACAAATTATTCATAACTTTACAGCTGACTAATCTATATTACGTTTTTCAAATTAATTTATATTTTATAATTATATGTAACAATAATTTTTAAATGTAGTTTTCCTTTTTTTTTTAGTTCTTGATTAAATATTTCTTCTCTAAACTGAATCACCACTACCAAACTGACAAAGAATCCCGCCATTTTCTCCTTGAAGTTGGTTGCAGTTTATTTTTTTTTAAACGTTTATCCTCTTTACGAGTGAAACTAGCAAAACCCACCTACTACATGGTTATTTCTGTCACAATTTTTATATGATACAACCACGTGTTACAAGGTATTTTTAATTCATCCATAATTTTTTTTGTTAAAAGAATACTTTTTCAATATCAATATTTCAGGAGAAACAGAATGTAGTTAATCACTTTACTTGCAGAAAAAAAAAATCCCTATAATTCACATTTAGTCATAAGGTAAGCGCTCCACAAAATTGCAAACATTTTCCTGCTATCATGTTAAATAAAACGCGTTTATAAAATACTGTTATGAAAATAGCCTATTGGATGATTTGAGTTTTCATGAAAATTAGTCGATTTTCTAAGAAACTGAATTCTAAAACAAATGAAAAACAAGCACATATTCAAAACGTTTTACCTGACTCGTGCAGCGGGCGATTGCCAAAAAGATTAATAGCAGAACATTTAGCCGAAGAAGGGATCAACTCACAAAATTCGGGATGAATTTAGGTAGTATAAGTGTTTGAAAAAGGGTAGATAAGCAGGATATTTGCTAAAGGCAAATTCTTTGTAGTCAACACAGTTGAATTACAATATTTGAACCGACAAGACCAGAACGAGAACTAAAGCATTCCACACAATGTGTAAATATATGACATGAATTCAATAGAAATCAACGTAGATGTAAATATACATATAGGAAACAACAGCGAAAAAATTAATGGTAAAACTAGCGAGCTTCTTGGATAATTACTAAAATAAGGAATTAAGAAATATGAATTTAAAAGAAGCGTGGAAGTGGACTTCACTGACGTAGTTGAACAAAGAAAGGAATTGGTTGAATGTTTCGATTTCGCAAATGTATTTTAAATTGAAAATAAATCGCTTTTATTGCTCCTTTTTATGTCTTATGTATATTATTATTATTTCTTATGTACAATAATATAGAATATGAACCAAAATTGCAATTCAAAATATATAAAAAAGGTTTAAATCAGTAGAATCGTTTATAAATTTTCCGCCTTCATTTCTACTTGGCGTTTTTTTTTAATTTTGTATTACACTCGGGTGTAGAAAACCGCACACCCCTTACATTTTCACTTCGAACTTAAATATACCAGCGAACGCAATGTGTGCTTGTCGGTTGGCTGGGATTAATTTCGAGCAAGTTGCTGGTCTGTGCGCTGTCAGGCCTCCTGCGGCTAATCTTTTTCTAACAGTCTACCGGCTGACTTCTGCTTCTTCAATTTTCTGATTCCCGAGTACAAGTGCATTCGATATTGAATCGTGTTTTTGGCCAGTTCCTAATCCCTGAGTGTAGCCATTCGTCTCTTGACATCGCTGACATACAAGTCGAAGAGCATATGAGCTTAAATTTAATCGTCATGCCGCTGAGCTTTTGTTTTGTCCAGCTTCCATTAGTGCAACCACTCAAGGCGCTACTTCCGGTATAGAATAGTCTTGTATTCGGTAAAGAATCTTTCGAACTGCGAGTTGGTGTGCAAGTGATCTCATTTCTATCAGTCTTTGCCCTTTCATACCTGATCAAAATCGCGGAAGCAGCACTACCTGAAATGATTGATTTTGGGTATTCCTATTGTTTTATTGCTGCTGCGACGATTTAGAAGGTCGAGGGTAAGCATTATGTGTTTTTTAAATGCTATAAACTCGTTGCTAATTATAAAACTTAAAAGACTGCCTTATAAAAAATAATATTTTCAAAATTCTCTATTATGCAAATATTCAAAGAGTAGTATATAAGATTTAAAAAAAGTATGTTTCTAGGTTAGTTGGAGATATCCAAAGATTACTTTCTCTATGAATGGACGGGTGGGCAGAGAAATTTGAATAGAAACGCTGCTCGACCCAACAAATCCATGCTGCAATTTTTCGTTCAATTGTAGTCTGGCATCAGAACCATGACGTAATAAACAATTACCATCTGGTGGAACATTTAAAATCCAATAATCTGATAAGCGATTGCGAATTTCGCTTCCGCAGGAATGCGTCCGCGTGCGGCTTAATAGCCTATCTAATGGAGACGTGACCGGGCTGCCCGTCTTTAGAATATTCTATCTGCAATAGTCTTTGCAGCCATTGCATATAATTCCGCTTTCAAACCAAACGCACGCGAAACTATTTGTTCTTATCATTCGCTTTATCAAAATTCCTTTTGGACCAAGCGGCCACCTACGTAAGAAACATCCTCTGAGTGACTGAACAAAGAAAAGCTATTTTAATCGAATTGAAGTTGTTAAGATAAAATATATTTGGAAAAAGTAGTATACAAAGCTGTTGAAATAATATCTGCTTTTACACATCTGCAGATGGAAGAAGCGCAACCATTATTTTAATTTATGCAAACGGCCTCAAGTAACTCCTACCTCATTGCCATTAAGGTATTGCATCAATGGTCTAAAATATTAAAAAATTTCGAAAGCGAAATTCCTATTTGAAATTATGAAACGAAAGGTTCACGTCTAAAATTTTACCTCAGTTATAAACAGCTAGAACCAAACCAAGCATCGGAAAAAGCAAGTACTGTCATGGCAAAGCTTGATCCCTTCTATGTCTTTAGCCATTCCATCTACGCTTTATATAATCCTCTCAGTAAGCGCGTCCAGTCCTTACAAAATCAGCTACCATCAGCAACTTTGAATAACGGCGACGTGGGTGCTCGTATATTTGAAACATATTCTCTTCACGAAATCTGCGAAAAGCAAAGCTAACTTTAAAACCCCAACCGCGGCTCCGTTAGACCACAACTACGTAATGGGTAATATTAAAAAGCCGCCGTAGGTTTTTTCGCGGTTCGAACTTCTGTTTGTACACTACTCTTTTCAAATGATTCCGAGCTGCCATGTGGTTTGTATTTAGCGCCTCCGAGATTTCCGGACGGTTTGCGTGCCGGTCTTGCTACACCAATTGCAACATTTCCTCGACTTTTTCAGTGTCTGTGAGTTGAATCTTTGAAATCGAAATTTCCGAAACGGAATCGAGCAAACAACTCCTGTGTCCATTCTCACCACACACTTCATTAATTTTTTTTATATCATTTTTACCTATTTTATAGTAAAAAAGCACCACATACAGTATTTATTCAGATATTTCTCTCATTTTCAACTCAATAAAACATTTATGCGAGCAAAGAATTAAAAAACTGTCTTCACAAAAATCCACGCTGAAATGTCAGCACATGTCCGTCTGTGACAATCAGGTGAGTATAGTCCCGTTTGCAGGCATCAACATCATCGTCTGGAAAATTTTAGGTAAGTGTTAATGACTAATATATCTATGTCAAGTTTCACTTCATAATAAATCCATTAGATGCGAAGTCGATATGGATTTGTAGTATGTGTTTGCACACATTCTCACAAAGCGACTATTCGTAGCGAAAGATTATAAATACACATGTGTCCAGGCGAGAACATATAAATAAAATAAAATCCATATTGGGCCAACACTGCAACAGTTGCGTTCTTTCGGCATCTTTTAACAATTTCCAATTAAGATACACTAGGACAGACGCTATTACTTTTGTGTGCAGAAACTTCGGAATCCATATATGTATTGGTAATCACGACAGCTTAAAACGTTTCCATTCATGTCAAATCTGAAGTCAAATGAACCACTTAAAAAGCTGTATTTCATAAAACATTGAAACTGCAATTGATTTCAAAGATATAGGTATGTTATTTATTATTTCATATTATATACATAGATTGCAAACTTTACATGTACACAAGCAAGCTAATGTTGATGACTGAGGGTTATAAATAATGGGAGTAGGGAGCCACAGATCATAATCACTAGTTCACTACAACGCAAACCTTTCGTTGTTATATGCTGATGACTGGAACGAATCAGTATGTCAGTATCGGGAGCTCCTTCTAATTGACGGTAATCATGTTGTAGACGACTATGGGCATGATTCGCAGCCCCCTGCGTAAGTTCTGGCAGTACATGTACGGTGGCTACGTAAAGAAATGTTCCTGCCGAGAATAACATGGCGATTCCAGTAGCATTAACAGAGTTTAAAGTTTCTTTTTGCTCTTGTCCGATTCCAAAATATGTTAGCAATGTAAGTAAAGGTGCTGAAAGAGAAAATATCGCTAAATGCCGGCGAATCTTCTGACGATCGATTTTCTCATGCAACAAAAAACTAACCAAACCAAATGCTGCAGGAGCTTTATGTAACATGATGGCTAAAAACACAATTATTTCCACATCTTGATGACTTGTGGTTGCTGCTGCACCTAAAGCCACTCCATCCGCTGAAAGAAAAAAGAAAATTTGTGAAAACATTATATCCCAATGTCAGTTTAAACAAAATTTAACCCAAAATGATAGGTCTTGCATAAAAATCGGTGCGATTATTTTATAATGAATATTTTTACATATAAAAGGACAAATAGAAAAGAAAGCGGGAGAAATTGAAACACATACAATAATAAATATTATCATAAATGTAATATTCTAGAGAAGGTGTGAATAACTTAGTACACTAATAGTAAACGTACATGGCATAGTTAACATTCAATTTATTTTGTTGCCTCGAACACTTCTTATATAACCACAATGGCGTTCCCTAATCATTTTCAGCTCTCTTGTCTTCAAGCGACTCAAATCGCATTGCTTCATGAAGTAACTTTGGCTTCGAAAATAAGCAGACCGAGCTATACAAGTTGAGTACCGCACTTTGGTTGACCGTATTGATTTAGTTTTTGGCTAGAAATTTACGACAAATGTTAATCTGTTAAAACTATCATGTAGAATTCGCACTATGAATTAACTTAGAAACACGCCCGGCCGTCGCTTGCTGAACATTTATGCGTACTTTAAACTTCTTTTAATGACTAATAGAATTTGAATATCTCCGTTTGTTGCACGCCTTTTTAGGTGTTAAATATCAATGACAATTTCAATCAACCTTTGGGTCTAACGCACAAAGGCTAAACTAATGGGAAGCTAATTGAAGATAAAGAAGTGTTATAAATCTATTCGATTAAACTTAAAAATCTACAACTGTTATCGTTTAATCCGTATGAACACAAAATGTGTTGGTTCAAATACGAAAACGACGTGTACGGTTTAATCTCAACGTAAGCGGTTTCAAGGATGGTTGGTACTTTGAATTTTGATTCATAAAAATTGCTGTATCTGATTATTTGAAAATAGATCGATAACTTACAGTTCTCACACACTAAATGATATAAAAATCCACTTTTAAATATTCTAAATTCCTGTACCGCGCCTGAACTGCTTTATCCTTCAATCAAATGTCGAACGCTATTTACGCTAAGAAATTCACTTAGAAATTATGGAGATGAAAATTTCTATCCATTACACTTTTTTCGCAAATTTAACACATTTGGTGCGCGTTACAAAAGAAACCCTGAAATTGTATTATTTCGTTTTTATCCATACGTTCCTAGCTAGCATAATGTCGTAATGCACGATCATAAGTTATACCATGGTGAGAAGCACTATTGATAATAAACCGGCGTGAATAAAATTTTACAGTTAGCACTTCTAACTTGCGCAAAACCTAGTTTACATGATCAAATCACGATAGCTGAGGATGAATTAGATTGTCCGTTTTGGGCACCAACTCACAATATAATAATAGCAGCAATGATGAACTCTTCATGAAAAAAGGATAAATTGAAATCAGTACGAGTTTTAAACGCAATAATAGCAAATATTATTTGATAACATTTTCTGTAAATTGTTTTGTAAAAGAAAGCAGAAGTTATTCCCTCTGAACAATATAATACAATTTTTAACAAGCCATAATATAACATAATATAACATAATATAAACTTCGCATATTTACCCTAATACAATTAACCTAGAATCAAGCCAATATAATTTCTTGTAATACAAAATTAGAGCAAGCGAGCAAAATATAAGTGAACAGCCGTAATTTCATAACAAATTATATTTGTTGCACTTGCGGCATGAAAATACATATTAATGCACAAAAATACGACATACTTTGTTTTGCTGACTGTATTGAAATTGTAAATACTATTTGTATTATAATTAATTTAGCCAGAGAAATAAATTGTAAGACTAAAGTCTACCGCACTTGAGATTTGAACCCCCGACCATTGAGTGGTTAGTCGAGATCCTTTGTCTACTCGGCGTCAAGCGGATAAAATCACCAAAAAGGGGCCGTCCGAAGTTTTGTTATTGGATTCTCCCATTTTCTGCGAACGATACATACATGGTATACCTTGTGACGATAAGCCTAAAGATATTGCAAGTTAATTTTTGTAGTAAAGAGAGAAAGGATATTCAGTTTGGTGGAAGATTTAAGTGTCAACACTGGTTAAGCAGTTTAGAGTTATGGAGGTAACTTAGGCTATGTTGGCATGACTTGTTACTTGAACAGCACACGGGTTGCATATACCGATATTATTTTGTGAAAGACAATATATCTTCTGACAACATTCAACTTGAACATGTATCAACTGCAGATCGATTAGCTGGCATTTTCACCAGATTATAGCTAATTAATTAACTCGGTACTGAAAGCTTGTAAAAGCGTAGTTTTGTAAAGTTAAAGTTGAAAACTCTGGTTGAAATAAAATTATTTTAGAGATAAATTTAGGGGAAAAAATGAATAAATAGATAAAATTAAGGAATAGGAAAAACTTGTCATCAGTTGAAAGCACAAATTTGCTTTTTTTTTGTAAAGCAAGATGAGTATGAATACATAAAATATTTTGTTGAACGTCTATACATAGGCTTGTTCTGCAAAAGTTTATTCATGTTTCTCTTTCTTCACTCTTAAATGTTTTTTCAGTTCCTTTTATGCCACAAGGATAGCTTTAGAGACCATATAAAGTGTATATATTTTCGGTCATTATTAAATTGGGGACCCCAAATAAGGCATCTGCGTCTGGCCAAAAGGATTATGCAAAAAAATTCGAAACTCTCACACGCTGATTAGTATTGGAAATGGGTCTAACAAGGGCACTTCTATAATTCAGCATAGATTGGAAATATTCCTACACTCCGGATTGTTTGCTCAATATTCCACTTCAATTTCAATATGAAAAAGTCTTCACCATAAAGACTGAAAAAATTAGTCGCGCTCACCCAATATTAGTCAGTTTTTTGCTTTTTTAGAATGAAAATGAGTGATGCAAATAATTCGATTACAACCGAATGTCAATTTCTTATAACATCAGCCTTCCATGTGTGCCGAGGTATGTTCACTCACGTAGTTTGCCTTAACAATATATTAGAATAACCTGGACAAAAATTTTAAACTGTCATACGTTGAACTTTAATACGACACTTAAAAAAAATAATACGCAAGTCTTTCGTTACTGTAAACTGTTTGTTTGCCTAGAGGGTTGATGTTATTCATTTTTGCTAAAAAAGATGAATTAAATATGATGAATGCAATTCCTTATTTAGTTTTAGTTGAATATACTTTTGTTTACCTGCAGCATGTACGACTAGCCCTAAAGTTGTTGTAATATCTTTGTCATTAGCAGAAGAGGCGCTATGACGTCTTTGGGAGATTTGATCTATTAACATCATGAACACAAACCCCAATATAAGCGAGAAGCCAATTGTCCGTGAATGATCAGGAATTTCATTTGAATGATGTCTATGATTGAGTTTCGTTACTTTAGTGATATCAGCGTTAGCAACAGTAACTGCTAATAAACTTGCCGGCATAATTTCTTTCTTTACTATTCCTTCTGTGTACAGTGATCTTATACCTTCGGGTATGATAACCGTGAGAGCAGTACCTACCAGCAAACCCGCACCAAGCACCGTTACAAATTTAAGTTTTTCCTAAGTAAATTTAATAAATGAAAGTAATTCAAAAGACTAAGAAATTGTTATTATTCACCTCGCTCAATTTCATAATAAGCGGTATGCTGCCTGCAATGTACGAGCCCACCAACATCACAGTTATTAGCATTAAAAGTATAATGGTTTCTTCAGCCATTGGATTTTTAAGAGAAAACGCGTTTATGTGCTAAACATAGAAAGGTAGAACAGAGCGAGATATCGGCTCGGAGCTTAAGGGTATTATTTGTTTGTTTGGATTCAACGCACTTTTATTACTTTACCACACACAAAAGAGATCTACGGAATTTATGTTTGAACTGGATTCGTAAATTTCTGCATATTGATTAAGTAGTTCTTGCAATCGGATTGCCACGTTTCTCTATTGTAATATATACTAACGTGATGACACTTGATACTTTTGCTTTGTTCTTTAATGTTTTTTCAACTAGGATTTTTCATTCATTTCAGTATAATGTAAGCAACACTTTGACTATTGTTGAAGCAAGACTCGTCGAAACAATTAGCTTAATGTCAAACTAATCCGCTAATATTACATCAACCCCGTCGTTTAAATGGAACATAGTGGATAAAACCAGTGTAGTGAGTATCGTTTTTGATTAATTAAAAATTGGTTGTCAAAATTACGTCATTTGAAGAAAACAACTTCAAGTTAGCTGATATAACTTTCAAAATTGTATGTACAGTTCGGGATAATCGCATATCTAAAAGTTAAATCATTCATGTGTAAATGAAAAAGCAAAAAAAAAGGTAAATTTTTGTTTATGTTTAATTGTGGTTGTCAAACCCCAAAAAATAACAGCTAGGCACTAGTTATGAAAATTTTAGTTAACTAGCTCTAATTTGAAAGGCGTACCTTGAAAACCATTTGGTTGAGAATTATATATGCCTTTTGCTATTCAAAATTTACTTCCAAAAAATGATGGGAAACTAAGGCGCAATTAGATGTTTGTTTGCTTACAATGAAACTATCAATTAAAAATCATACAAAAGTTAACAAAAATTATATTATATAAAATGGAAGGCAGCCGTGAGCACTATTGTTACTAACAGTTTTTGGTTTATTTTGCACGTGATAGCGTGGCACGCAGAGAATCACGTTCCCAGTAAGAAACGAAAGTAAGTGCACATATTAGTTTACATTTTTAAAATACTTATAACCATTTAACTATTAATAAAAAGTGTTATTCGTTACCAGACATTCATCCTATGATCAAAGGAAGAAAAGTTGAGAAAGGTTCTGAGCTTTAACATCTTGGATTTACTTGGAGAGAATGTTGAGAGCGGTCAACGATACAAAAAGCGGATACTGCATTTATTAATGGAAATTACAGATGATTTTAAGTCGTTCCATTGTAGCGAGTTACAGCTAGCCAACGAAAAGAACGATTTAATCCGCAAATTATTTTGACTGAATTTTCGCTTTTTTTATTTATTTTTTGTATTTTACATTAATTAACAAATGCTTTTCCATATAAAGAATGTATAATGTGTTAAAATAAAATTTTTTTTTCAATCAGCTTCTGAAAATTAAACCTAGCCGCCTAATTTTCATAAAGCGGATTCATTTCTTACATTGTTTGTTATCGTAATTGTATATTTTTTGCAAAAGGTACGCTAGCTCTTATTTCCTTACTTATTGGCCTTAGAGAGTAAGTAAACAATTTTGTTTGGAATTTATTTTATTTTCAATTTACAGTTGTTTTATTTTATAAATGGGGTTCTAAACAGCCAATAATAATATCTAACAGGAGCTGTTTTGCTTTCGTCTAATTTGACAGATTTAAGAGGGTGTACTTAACAGTTGTGCTTATCAATGCTGAATATTGTCACATACGAAACGATCCAAAAAATGAAAACATAAGCCGGCTTTCAGATACGTGATTATGCCAATGTATTGAACATTTGCAACAAAAAAGTTTCTGAGCATTGCGGGCAACAGCTCTTATGAAGAAGCAAAATTATAATATATAAGACGTTAAATTTTTAATATCTATATAATTAATTGAGAACAAATTGATAGTAATTCCTTAGACCTCTGAATGAAGCAGAAGTCTATAAAATCTGTGCATGTGTATCAGAATGCTGAAGAGAACAATGCAGGAAACTTCTAGTCTGTAATTACGTCAGCAGTCAAACTGCTCTAAAACCCCTGAAAAGCCACATAATGACCGTAAAGTTTGTGTTGAAATGCTTTTAAACCTTGAGTGAGGGACACATAATACGTGTTCCTGAGCATTCAGATGTCGAAGGCAACAAAAGAGCTGGCTGTTTAATCTGAAGGGGAACCTGAAGTACTATAATACTTCGGAAATCTGTCTGTGCCGAACCAACGAGGCATAGGAAATAAGAAAGATGAGGAATCCTTGGCAGCAAGGTATAGGACAGCGGAAAGCATATAAAATGTTCCGGTACAGCAAATAAGCTATTGGGAATAGGAAGGAATAATATACGTTTCTTAATTGGCTCCTGCACGGGTTAAAACTCATTCAGGGACCACTTGAGAAGTATACACTGATTCAAGCAACGGGGTGGGCAAACATGCCGTCATGTTTGGTCCAAATGCGTGGCTACCTGCAGAATCAGATACCAAGTGTGTGTGAGTATGCATGACGCTCGCACCTGAGAACATGGTAGAATTTTTAAGAATCCTGCTGAAGGGCTAGAGGAATGGGTGAGTGCAATAAACGATTTTAGGTCGCAGTACGAATTACCCACTACACCACTATACAAGTTTAAAATTATTTTACAGTTTTGCACAATACGAGCTAATAATACATTTACGTCTTCGATTTGCTTTTAAGTATTCGGCACAATTACAGGCAGACAATTTTTTTTCGTTATATTATTACATGTTTTCATACTGTACTGTCAATCACAAATTCTAAACGTCAAAGCCCAATCGAAATTTTTTATTTAGTTTATATTTGAAATCCTATATTGCAAAATATATAAAAAGTTGTTCAATTTTTTGCAAGCTAACTCTCTGAATCAAAGCCGCACATAGGCCCGACTTTTGTTCTGAGTAGTACCTGTTTTCTTTTCGTCTGCGATTTTTTGATTGTTTCGGTGTTTTCGTGTATTTAGCTCGTATCTTCTCAGTGTTTTTACTAAATTGCTTATCGCGGATACCGTACGCGCTTTTGTTTCCTCTATATATAATAAAAAAAAAAACAAAAAAATGAAAAATAAAAATAATAAATTGAAAAAAATTGACATTCTCTATTAGTAGTTCTCAATCTTTTTCCGGGGAGTGGTCTTTTTTCCCAAATTACGAAATAATAGTCAACAATAACGCATAATGGCCCTGGGGCGGTCAGATAAAAACTCAAATGGGTTTCATCTGTTAGCGGATAAACTCCTGCGGAGAAAAACAATTAAAAATTCAGACCTTCCGGTGTTGCCAATCAGTAACATCACTCCTATTGACAAAAAATATGTTATTTCTTCAACTGATGCTAGCATAACAATTTCAAAAATCAGTCCTTTCGCTATAAAAAGATAGACTAGTACGGTACTAGCCCCTTTGTTGCCGGTAGAGCGTATTTGTTGAAAGGGGTTTGGCTCTCTGAGCCTCATGACAAAGAATACGAAAATCGTCGGTTGTCTATCGTCCGTCTGTCCACGGTGAGTCCGTCGGTAACCGTCTGAAGTCCTCCCTACGGTGCCATCACATGCACACTCCCTCACCTGACCTCAGCCACAGCGGTGGCAGTTTGCACTCAGCCACACATCGGGGACAACAAAAAAAAAGGACTAAAGGAACTAGATGACCTACAATACCTGGTGCAATTGGTGTCGGTGTAGTGTCTGCGGCGGTAGCGGTTTACATCAGTGGTTTCTCCTCCTTACTTCGTTATGTTGCTCCTTAGCGTAATTCAAGGCGTTCGTCCGATGAATTTTTATTGTGAATTTTGTTGACGATCCATAGTAAATGTCACATTACTGCTGCTGTTGTTGCTATCGTTATGTCCTAATTACTTAGTTTTTACTGAAACTTCTGTTTTTTTCTTTTTTTTTTTCTTTATTTCATTTTTTTGTCGTAATAAGAATTAATTTCACATATATATATTTTAATTTGGCTTTCAGTTTTTATATCATCATTCTTGGTGCATTCGCAGTGCACAAAAACAGGTGTTTGTTATTTACTATCTCAAATGCCATTTTCTTTCTTTTTTTTTTGACAAGTTGTTGCATTTGTCTCTATTCTTTTTTCTTTTGATAAATTCTATTTTTTTTGTCTTCGCAATTACTTCTCGTTGCACAAAGTTTGAGGAAATTTCGATTTTTATTACAAAATGCACAATAGCCTAATTTCTTAAATTACCCTTTTTTTTCTCTTTTTTTCTACGAGTTAATTTGCTTTTATATATGACTTACGAAAAGCAAAATTTTTGTTACAAATAATTGAATTGATCTCAATTCTTATCAAAAGCAAGCGTTTGATAATTTCTTACAATTTTCTTATGTTTTTTTTAAAGTTCGTTTCTTATACACCTAGTTTCTAAATGTTAAATTTAGTTAACAGAGTAAAAATTATTAATGCTTTGTTTTTTTGACACTCCCTTAAACTACAAAAGAATATTTATACAATTTTATTTTAATTTTTATAATTTTAAAATTTTTCGAACACACTTGTAAGAATGCTTTGATTTGCTTTTTGGTAATTTTTCGCTTTATCAAACACAGTTGAAAAATGCTTTGATTTGTTTCTTTTTTTTTCTATGTATTTTGTTTTCCCTTTTTTTTTTTTCTTCTTTTTGCTGAGTTATATTATTGGAATCATATATTATACTTATGTATTCAATTTTCCTATCGCGGGTCCCATCTTTTCACGCAAACTTCTCAACGATCACCCCTCTATCTTTTTTTATTTCAATATTTTGCTTGCTATTTTGATTCACTGCTGTGTCTTACAAAACATTTAAATTTTCTTATTTATTAAATAAAGTTGAAGTTAAT